GGCTACTTCCAGAGATCCAGCGTCAAGGAATTCATCGTCTTCGTAGGCCGGACTGTCGCCAAACGGACCTCTCCCGGCCAGCGTCAATCCGTTCAGCACGAAGGTTCCTAATCTTCATCTTCACAATCCTATAAGTGCTTCTTTATTTCACGGGAAAGAAAAACTATCCACTGGGTTGAATTTTGTGAACTTTCACCCGATTATAATGCTAGTTAGTTCTATGTTGAAATTGTTAAGTTGAGTTACTGCTAAAAAATATTTTCTTTTTGCAGCTTTGGTGAGCTATGTTTAAAATTAGGGTTTTGATTTTCTACAAGTTTGTATTTTTACTCGGTGTGGTTGTTTGGTAATTAATTGGAAACCATTACTTGTAAGTTATAGCGCCGTGCAACTTTTTAAGCTCCAACTATATTGGCCCAAAAGCTCCAACCAAGTCTATAAGTAGATTGTATAGCTTTGGTCCACAATTACCCAAGTGGCATTAATTATATTGTTTTCAAACAACTAAAATGTCTAAATAAATGTTAATATTGACTAATAGGTGTATATATAACAATTTGTCATTTGCATTAGAATCCATTGTCGTGGTATGTAATACTCACCTCTTCAAGATGATTATGAGTTATATTTTTGTAAGTGGATCTGTTAGGCTGTTAGCTAAAGTTATTTATGTTATAACTTTGGCCCCTTCAAAATGATTTTTGGCACCACCACGGCTTGTGAAGACATTTTGATGTCTAAATATATGATCATTCTTGTTCTTGTTATCCAAATATCCATACAAAAACTTGTATCAGATTCAAGTGTTTTTGAAATGTGATATCTCTTTGTTTGCAAAACATCATAACTCAAACTTGTATGATATCCAAGTGTTCCTGAAATTGTGATATATCATTGTTTGCTAAAGCTGACTTCTGTTTGAAATTCTTCCATACAATAGAGTACATGGTACATGCATATAACCAAAATGGCTTATGTACGTTGGGTTTTATGGACAATCACTATCCAGTTCGAAGTGCATTTTCAGTGCTCAACCAGGTAATACACTATATTTTTAATTTCCTTCAATTTGACAAGAGAAGGACATTGTTTGATGAAGCATTAATTTTTTTATGTGCGCATTTTACATTTTCAGGTCCTGGATGAGTACCAAAAGAATTTTGGTGAGACATGGAGGTCTGCACAATCTGACAGTACTCAACAATGGCCTTATCTAAATGAAGCTTTAACTAGGTTTCAGGTACCTATTTTATTTACCTATCTCAATAGATTTGCAGTTTATTTTAAATAACTTCCTGGGTTAGTAAAAGTGTTTTTCCTCCTTTTATTTTCTTAGGATCCTGCTGAAGCTGATAAGCTGTTGAAAATTCAGAGGGAGTTGGATGAAACAAAAATTATTCTTGTAAGTACTGTGTTGCTTTTTCATTTAGAATTTTCCCTTGTCTTTTCATGAAATGTTTCCCATTTTTATTTTTAATCTTAATTATAATTGATTGATTAAAAGGACAAGATGCATGTTAGGAAATTAATTTTTGGAGATTGCTGATTAAAGAGTGTCTGAGTGTGAGAACATGTATATAAAGAGAATCTTTCCCATTTACAAATAATGTGTTAGTTTTTCATTTAGAGTTTTCCCTTCTCTTCAAGAAATGTTAGTCATTTAATTTGTAATTGTAATGAATGAATACTCGAAGATTGCACTTTTTTTTTTTTTTTTTTTTTTTTTTTTTGTTGGGTACATGAAGATTGCATTATCAAGAAGTGTGAGAACATGTAAATGTAGAACATCTTCCCCATGCTCCATTTGTGATTGTAATTCTTCATGGGTTTCATTAAACGATTTTACATTAGTTTGTTCTGGTTCTAATTTATGCTTGAAGTTCTTTACTGAATAGTCTGAATGACACAGTTATTTCTATTTAAGATTTTGACCATGTGTGAAATATTAAGGGAAATTCGGGTGTGAAATGGTGTTATGGCTTTTTATTTTTTATTCTTGTAGTTTAGAAATAGAATCTTCTTTTTATTTTATTTTGACGGTTTCCAACACATCTATTTATTTTCTCAATGAACATCACCTTCCACAATTATAGAAGATTTTAACTTGTTTGTTATGACCAATTTGTAATTGGATTTGTCAGTTAGTATAGGCTTAGTGGTTGTTTTGAAACTATTGCTAGTGGCTGTTTCTTTTGCATTGGCTCAGCAATTCAGCATAAGGCAGTTTCTGGAACAGCTTTTATATAATGACCATTTTTTCATTGGATTCATTGTTTAAGTATTATTATGCTTAGTGGTTCCATTGGAACTACTGCTGATGATTATTTCTTTTGCATTGAAACAGCATAAGACAATTGACAGTGTTCTAGAACGAGGTGAGAAACTTGACAGTTTGGTTGATAAGAGTTCGGATCTCAGTGCTGCTTCCCAGGTACATATTTACTATTCAATTCCTTATAAGTTGCAAGTATGGAATACGTTGTGGTGTTGTGCAAATCTACTTAGGATGTGTGTACCGTTTTTATTCTGGATTTAAGGGATTAGAACTCTGTATTTTGCTGGAATGAGATGTAATGTTCAATTTGTTGGTGACATAAGTAGAAGCATCAATTCATTAAAATTGTTGAGCATAAGCATGTTGAGCAGGGATTGTCTTTATTTGTGTTTTTTGTTGATATTTTAATCATGATGCTGAAAAAATTTCTGTTAGAAGCCATGATGTCCTTGTGTTTTTTTGTCGATTTCTGTCTCTCCACATTGATTTTTGAATTTTCTGAGCAGTTGATAGTTTAGGGGTTTCTACAATTGTTATACTCATCAAATAGGTTTTGTAGATTGATTAGTGTGGTTTGGACTGGGCATAAATACTTGGGGCCCGTTTACTAATGGGAGAGTTTTCCAGTTTTCTAGAAAACTAGACAATGGAAAACAAAAAATATGTTTACTTGCACAATTTTCCATTTTAAAAACTAGAAAACACTCCAGCTTGAAGCTTTCACTCCAGCACTTAGTCTTTCCTTTGTAGTCTGATTGGGGAACAGCTCATATTCATTGAGAAGAGAGTTGAAAATGAAGAGTACATGTTAGATAAGTAGAATGAATAAATGCATCACACATTTGAAACTTGATCGTTTTAATTGAAAATGGTAGTTCACAAAGATGGGATATATGCCGTGTTTTGGGTAAGTTTATTTTTCTTCCTTTCAATGATGGTGCTACAATTACTTTTGGGGTGACAAGGGAAACCCGAAGCCACTACCCTGAGGGTGTGCACTAGGTAAACCTCGCTTTGTGACCTTAGCCAGCAAAGGATCACAAGGAGGTAAACCAGCTTAGGTTGTCCATAACTGACCAGCTCAAACAAAAAAGGCTGAGATTCGAACTCGTGACTTTGTGGTTACAAGTTTACAGTCTCTTTTAGAATATTCATGATTGAATAAATGTTTGTGGTCTCAGTAAACATCACCACTCAAGTGCTGCTTGTTTTTGTTTCCTAACAGATGTTCTACAAGCAGGCGAAGAAAACCAATCAATGCTGCACAATTTTATAAATGGTTGAGAGTCGTAGCCTCGTAGGGGACTGCTCTGCTCTTCTCATCCAAGGATTTCAAGCATTAATGTAATATAAAGTGCCACAAAAATTGGTGTTTATAGTTATTTATTCGTGTGAGCTTGAATCGTTCCATTCTCTTGTACTCTCTGGTGTCAGGACAAGGACTCACCATAGCATACTAAAAAGTGTTAACTGTTACAGTACATCAGTATACTCTGCTCATATTCTTGGATACTGCTATTTAAATTTGGAGACATCTTTGGTTTAGTATGGTGTTAGTCTAGGTCGCAATGTTGCAGGTGTGAGTTTAACTTGTTTACTAATTACTAGCACTAGCATTCAACAAACATATCAATTGGATAATGTGTAGTGAGTTTTATAAAGTTGCGAGTAACTAAAAAGGATTTTGATTTTGAAGTGATATTAATGAGTGTGTACTTGTGTAAATTGTTAGCATTTTCTTAGTAAAATTTAATAAAAATTACTATTTGCAAAACTTGTAATCATCGGAATACTAGAATGGTCTACCCTACCCAACCTCACATTTCAAAGGGACCATGTGAAATATTGTTACGCGGACTACTAACAAATGTTCATTTTTAAATATTGAAAGTTGAGCATGATTAATGATTGTTACTTCTCCCAAAGTTGAATTTTCAATCCGATCTGACAGAGCATTTATGAGAATGTAAATCACAGTAACTCAATGATTCGGCAGATAGATGCAAATGTCAATGCACAACATCTCCCAAAGTTGAATTTTCAACTCGACCTGACAGAACATTTGAGAGAATGTAAATCGCGGTGATTCAATGGCTCAACAAATAGAGGCAAATATTGGTGCACATAAGGACAAATAGGGGCAAATGTCAGTGCACATTAGGAATCTGTTCAATTTGAGTAAATCTCTATATTATCGCAACTGAAATTCAAATATTATCTAATCATTCCCAATGGTTCAACATATAGGGGCAAATATCAGTGCACACAAGGACATATAGAGGCAAATGTCAGTACACATTAAGAATCTGTTCAATTTGAGTATAATCTCTATATCACAACCAAAATTCAAACATTAATTTCTTCTATTAAAAATATCAAAATTTAAACATCGATCTCTTCTATCAAAAGCAGGCTACTGAATCACTGAGTTAAACTCAATTATCCTTAATGTTACTTGAAGATGTTGAGTACACGAGAAATAAACCTATCCTTAATCTTTTAGTTTCGTCAAGATTCAAGACCGGGAGAGTACTAAGAACTAGGAAGGTGGGGAACAATTTCCAGACAATTCTAGAAGGAACAACCCAGTCCTCAAATCCTCACACAATTACAAAACATAATGCGGTGTTACTTGTAAGGTCCTCAAACGCCCACGTCAATCTCATACACTAGTAACTAGTAAAACACTACACCTTCATATATATCCCAAGAATTTGCCCTTCCCAATTACCATATCCCATATAGAGAAACACTAAAACTCCAAACAAAACCCTTCCTTAAAATCAAAATCAAAGAAATGGGTAGCACAAAAGAGATGGAAGTAGTGAGAAATCTTGATGTGGAGAGGTACATGGGGAGGTGGTACGAGATAGCCTCATTCCCATCAAGATTTCAGCCCAAAGATGGGGTGGACACCAGGGCTACCTACACTCTAAACCCTGATGGCACAGTTCATGTGTTGAATGAGACTTGGAGTGGTGGGAAGAGAGGTTACATCGAGGGAACTGCATACAAGGCTGACCCTAAAAGCGATGAGGCTAAGCTCAAGGTCAGGTTTTATGTTCCCCCTTTCTTGCCCATATTCCCTGTCACTGGGGACTACTGGGTTTTGCACATTGACCCTGATTACCAGTATGCTTTGATTGGCCAGCCAAGCAGGAGTTATCTCTGGGTATGTATTGTATCTTCCTCAATTCTCTCCACTACAGTATTTGAATGGATTGGATTGGTTTTATTATCAGATTTAATTTGCTTGGTATCATTCTGAACATTGAGATACATTCTTGCTATATGGTTAGTTTTGATTTGTGAAGATATATAATTTGCTTTCTCTTTTTATCATTTGCTAAGCAAAAAGGGTCCCACTTCATTTAAAATTAGGTTAATTCTGACCTGCAAACATAAAAAAAGGCTTCAACTTTTTACAGGATGGTCCAAGAATTTGCTGGGCAATTGTCTAGTAATTAACCTTTTTAAAACCCAGGGTGTCTGTCTTTGATATCTCAGTGGTATTGATTTATCTAGGAATGGTGTTCCCCACACACTTGTATCATTTCATTTGGACTTTGATTCTTTATTATCATGTTAATGACTTTGGATTGATGATGTTTCTGATGCTTTTTGTTTATAATCTTTGCTTATATTGAATGGGGTTTTATGTTATTTTAGGTCTAGTTTTGTAATCTTTGCATATGTATATTGTATATATACACTGTTTTTGTATGAGGATCAATCTTGGACCTCTTATATAGAATCTTAGTTCCATGTTCAAATTTTATGTTACTTATATGCCACTGGACTATATATATATAAGATGTAGTTTCTGAATTATTGTTCAATTTTCTAAGAGGTTTTATTCAAAGAGTAACCAATCCATTCACCTTGTTATTTGCTGGCTTCAAGTGAAATTGGAAAAAAATCATTTCAGTGCTTTGTGAGAGTCCACATTGAAAATATATGGATTTATAAGCCCATGGTTAGACTAGCTAATTAATTGGATTTAATGTCATAGTGTGGTTTGACCCGGGTGCATTATAATTTAGTTGAGCCATGAGTTATCCTGGTCCAATCTTAGATTCTAACATGGTATCAGAGCTGGTTCGGTCCACGGTTACAACAAGGATATAATGTTATAATATTGTTTCACAATCCTTGGTTATATATACAATGAAAGCATTGGAGTTGGTATTTCTTGTTTGTGATCTTGATATGTTCTTGCTTGGAGTTGAGGATAACGAGGTTAAGTTCCTCGGTGTTGTTTGGAGCTCATGAAAAAGTAAACGGCTCACTGAGTATAATGCTAGTTCAATGTAGATTTAGGCTTGTTTTGGTTTAGGTAGGATAACGAGCCTGGTTTTCCATCAAATTTATACCAATTAACTTTGGGCATTGGTTGGTTTTAGATATTGTGTAGGCAGCCTCGGCTTGATGATGAGACCTACAACGAGCTGGTTGAGAAGGCGAAAGAGGTGGGGTACGATGTAAGCAAGCTTCACAAGACACCGCATTCTGAGACTCCACCGGAGGGGGAAGTCGCGAGCGACAAAGGGATTTGGTGGATCAAGTCCATCTTTGGAAAGTAGGACATACTACACTACTAGCTGCAGCAACCAAGTCTTATATTGAAAAAATAAGGAGCTTTATGTTGTAGGATGTAAATGTGAACTGAGAAGAAGGATGGATGAGGGCAGTGTTTTTTTTTGGCATATATATGTTTTTTATGGATTGATTGTGTAATCTTGAAAAGATTGTATGTATGTAGTATGTGTATGTTGTTTTGTATGAAGTTTCTTGAATTTGTCTCCTTGTGAAGTTCTCGGTTATACACGGCAGCTATTTCTTATCAATGTTTGGTAGCTTAGGGCTTAAGGATAATGGTTTTTCCGTCCTGTCCTGTTATCGGGAGATAAGCATTCCGTCCCAAACCGCATCATTCTTTGCTCTCCAGATATGATAAAGAATTGCAACTGCGTATATAACGTCATTAGTGTCTAGAATATTCAAGACTTCACTAAACCAATCATGAAAAACATTTGTTACAATATTGGGGATTGAAAGGTTGGATTAATTCCAAATGGAACTTGCATAGTCACACATAACCAATGAGTGCATAGTGTCTTCATGAAGAATTCCACACATGGCACAAACATGATTAACCTCTACCCTCTTTATAAGCAAATTTTTTATAGTGGGAAGCAAGTTTAACTAAGTTCTTTAATTGAAGAAAAAAAAAGTTATAATCAACTCCTTTAAACCGACATAAATGTAAAATTGAGCATTATTGATGCCTATTCAATAGATTATCATTGATTGATATGCTAACTAAGCTACCACATATACTTCTTACATATTTGACCTCCCTTAGGATTTAGACTCTGACAGTGGCCATTGGCCACCTCCGTCCACCCTAAGAGTCTATATTTGGACTCAAATAACAGGCGTGTTGCGTTTGTTGTCGAATAGAGACACTCAAAAATTTTTATTTTATTTTTCAATATTGTCAAAACTTTTGCCCCATCTAAAAAAAAATCTTGATGTGCATGCCAAATCAATAGTAACGTACATGTTGAATAGGGGTTATTTACCACTTATTAATAACATAACATGTTGAATAGGGGTTAATTACCACTTATTAGTAACATAACATGTTGAATAGGGGTTAATTACCATTTATATGCCCATTCAAGGGGTTGATTTAAGCTTTTTCTCAATTGAGGAATTCAATTGTAATGCTTGCTCAGCTTAGGGTGAATATGACACCTTTTCTTCATTAATAATTATAAGAATTAATTTTATTTTAGATCTTAAATTTATATGTGATAATAAGTTGTTTTTAATTTTGTTTTCAAAACATTCTCATTTGATCTTAGTATTATTGTGAAATGATCATTATTTGTTATCCGTCAATAAAATCATTGAAGTGTCGTTAAATGCAATGACATTTTGATCTTTTTTATACAAAGCTGATTGACCCGTTATATTTTTATTTTTTCAAAAAAAATTATAATTGACGACTTAAATGCACCTGTATTTAATGAAATTTAAACAGTTTTTTTTTTATGAAAAATTAAAAATGGAACCGCTTTCTTTTCCATTTTCGTTGCTCCCATGAAGTAAAGGTCCGACGACTTGGTGCTGCCGGCTGACGCTCTGATCGAGGATTGAGCCGGCGGTGCCATTAGTAGATTCCATCCTCTGGCTGTTTTATGAATAAGTGTTAGATCTCAAATCATCTGCGATCGTTTTTCAGAGAAGAAAAAGTCAGAGACTCTACAGATCTCACAGGTTTTCTACCATCTTTTCCATTTATTTTGTTTTCTTTTGGTTCTATGTTATCCCTTTGTTCCTTTGACTAGTTTGTTTTCTCTCGTCTCTCTAGCGAGTGTTTCCCTCTCGTTTCTTTGCGAGTTCTCCTCATAAGCGTGGAATGATAAAATGGTCACACCAGAGTCAGGTTTGGCTATGTTTGACTAGATTTGTGATGAAGCACCGAGTTCATATAACAACTTCGGCTTCAAATTTGTAAAACAGTCTGCGGTCCAAGTTTTCTATAACATTGCTAGGAAATTTGTTTCTATGTCTGATTGTAAAGAATGTATTACAATTCTAACGATCTGTATTGTAAACATTCTTGCTTATGATTAATGATTAGCCGTTTATTTTCAAAAAAAAAAACATAATAATACTATAACCAAAAAGGATCTTCTAAAAAAAATTAAAAAAATATGGACGGTCACCTATAAATTTATGACGAAAAATAGAATTAACTCTTTGGGAGGGGAGGGGAGGGGGATTCATTCATTCATTTAAATTAAAAAGTAGAAACGTAAAGTTATGCGAAGTTGGGTTAAGGAGGAAGGATGATGAGCTCCCGCCAAATGGATAATCACAGGCAGACAGACACAATGGATGTATATATGGGTAGGAGAGAGAAAAAGCGGCAAAGCAATTAGCAATTAGGAATTAGGATGGAGGGAGAGCATGCAGCTATTAATCCGATGGATGTGTGGGAGACATTAAATTTGGGTCAACAATTCCTCCTCCGATCCTCTCTCTCAATATTTCTTTGTTTATTCTCCCCATTTCTCCTTCCTCGATCTCCATTCCCTTGAGACTTTCCACCTTACATCATATCAATCTATTTTCTCGTGTGAATTTCTTGAGGGAATGTTTCTCTCTTCCTCCTGAGGCGCTCGCTCTTCATTTTCAAGTTTAGTCATTTCATTTTCATTTCCCCCCTTCCCGCCCTTTAATTCAATGAATGATCGAATTGTTGTTGTATATATGTTGTAGGGAAGAGCTATATTGTTTAATTTATGATAATGTATGTATGTATGTGTGCAAAATTTTGTATTTTGTTAGTTGGAAAGAGATAATGAGTTGTTTTGCTTGCCATTATATTGATTGAAAGTTAGTTGCAGGATTGGAAGAAAATAATGATCAAGCATCTGCTGCTCTTTTGCTTGCTGATCCATGGAGCAATGGGAGCTTCTCCTCCTCGATTAAAGAGGAAATGGCTGACACTGCACGGTATGCGTATATATATTGAATTCAAATTCAAATGTTTTCCTAATTTGGTTATAGGTTAGGTTAGGGTTGGTAATTGAATGGAATTGAGAACTTACAGGTGGTGAGCCTGTGATAGTTGCAAATGGAGGGATGTCTGGTGTTTTTCCTGAGAGCAGTTGGGCGTCATATACTTATGGCGTGGCACAGAATTTAGAGGGCTCTCCAGTCCTGTGTGATCTGAAGCTTACCAAGGATAATTATGGTTATTGTCTCGACAAAATGTTGCTTCAAAACACAACAAGCATTGCTGAAATCTACCCTAATAAACGAAATACCTATGATGTCAATGGCAGAAAGCTTACAGGATGGTTTGGACTGGATTTTGATTCTTCGGTGCTGTTTGCAAATGTAACATGTAAGTTTCTTTTTTTTGAAGCATGTTTGGTGGGCATGTCTCATAACAGGAATGCTTCAAAAACTCACCCTCTCTTTTTGTCTTCCCCTGCCTGCCATGTAGTGATACAGAGCCTTTACACTCGACCTTCAAGTTATGATAACTTCTTTGGAATAACTCCATTGGAGACATTGCAACATCTAGGGACAGATACTCAATTGACCAAAGTATGGATAAACGTGGAGGTATGTATGATTTAATCTATCCATCGATGACATAACTTTAATTTGATTAGAAAATGTTTTCATACATGCACTGTTTGAATGTGTGTTGCAGTACGACGTGTTCTATAAACAACACAAGCTGGATGTAGAATCATTTCTTAATGAAATGCTGCCTCAGTTAAAAATAGAAATTCCTTATCTTTCATCCACAGAAATCGGTTTCTTGAAAAGTATTGGACCAAAAGTTCGTGCAACAAAAACAAAGCTTTTTTTTAAGTTCCCATTAGATGTAAATGCTATTGAGCCCTCAACAAAAGAGAAGTATGGATCAGTGTTGAAGAAGCTGAACATGATCAAGACCTTTGCAGTAGGAATCCTTGTGCCGAAAGAATATATATGGCCAGTCAATGAAAATCGGTATCTAAAGCCTGCTACCACTCTTGTCACTGATGCCCACAGATTAGGTCTTGAAGTGTTTGCTTATGGCTTTGCAAATGATTTCTATCTTCCTTACAACTATAGCCTTGATCCAACAAATGAGTACCTACAATTTGTTGACAATTCTCACTTCTCTGTTGATGGAGTGGTCACAGATTTTTGCTCAACTGCATCAAATGCCATAGGTGAGAGATGATGATTCTTCAAATTCTATTCCTGTACTACTTACTAGTACTAGTAGTAGTAGTAGTAATGTGGAGCTGATGAAAATTAATTACTCCCTCCTTTGGTTTGGTTGCAGGATGCTTGGTGGGCATGTCTCATAACAGGAATGCTTCAAAAGCAGTGGAATGTAAGTAAGAAAGATGGAATCAGATTTTTTGGTGTGGGAAGTTGTTGTTGTTGTATATGATATGATTTGATTCGAGGTTTGTATGGATATGATTATTGCATGCAGTCTTGGTGATTTCTCATAATGGAGCTAGTGGTGACTATGCTGGAGCCTCGGATCTTGCTTATCAGAAAGCTGTAGATGATGGTGTTGACATAATTGATTGTAATGTCCAGTTCTCAAAAGATGGAGTTGCATTCTGCCAAGAATCACCTGACCTTAAGTTCACAACCTCAGCAGGATCGGACTTAATGGATAGAGTGAACCAAATTCCAGAGGTTAATCAGGGGCAACCGGGCATTTTCTCCTTTGAGCTTACCTGGGAGGAAATCAAGTCCCTAAAGCGTAAAAGCTCAATCTCAATCTTCTGCTTTCTTGAATGAATATGAATTGTTATTATTATATCCGCAGTTTGCTCAACTTCTTCTTCTTCTTCTTGTTTCTTGCATTGCATTGCATGCAGCTAAAATCAACTCTCCATACGATGCGCCATTGGACAGGAATCACGGATACCTGTTTGCCGGAAAGTTTGTGACTCTGACGGAATTCTTGGAATTTGCCAAGGCAAAAGCAGTAAATGGAATTATGATTGGAATAGAAGTAAGTTGAGTTACTTAGTTTGGTATATATATATATATATATATATATATATATATATATATATATATATATATATATATACATCATCACTGCTGCAGTTTTCCATATATGAGAAGAGAGAATTAATACACCATTATTTTGGATATACTCCTCCTTGCTAGAATGCTGCTTACCTTGCAACAAAGGGATATGACATTATTGGCACTGTCAACTCTGCATTAACCAATGCTTCATTCACTAATCAAACCAAATATAAGGTGATGATCAAGTCAGACCAAAGCGCGGTTCTCGAAAAGTACAAGAACGACTCCCATTACGAAACAGTATTCGACTTCAAAAAGGACTTCAGCAGAGTGCCCGAGGCATTGGCGAAAGAAATCAACAAGTATGCTGATGCAGTAGCCATACGCAGAAATTCGCTGGTGCTCGAATATGGTGACCCGTTTTTCATGACCCGAGGCTTTACAAACGCTGTTTCCGCAATGCATAAAGCTAATCTCAGTGTCTACGCTTCAAATCTCAAGAACGAGTTCCAGACCTTCCTGTTCGATTACAACAGTGATCCTTACCAAGAGATCGCTACCCTTCTTTCTGATGGCGTGGATGGATTCATAACTGATTTCCCAGCCACTGCAGTTTCATTCATGAGTAAGTATATATACCACCTACCTAGCTACTAGCTACTAGCCTGTTAAACATATAACATAAATGTGTAATCCAACTATCAGCTTAGTCTGGCTTATATGCATGCATGCAGGATCACAATGTGCTAAACCAAAAACAAAACACTCCTTAGCCTTCACTGCAATTGCACCTGGAGAACTGTTCAACACTTCAATATTATCAGTGATGGAAGCTGAAATGACAAACGCGGCCGCGGACGTAAACGCCACCAACTATCCTCCCGTGACTCCTAAAGACATCGACAATGAAGCTATACCGCCTGTGGCCTCGGGCGGCGCCAATGCGCCCTCCCCGGATACACCCACCGACAACGCACCTGGCTCTCCACCTAAACACTCTTCAAGAACAACAAGAGTTGCACCCACTGCCACTGTGGTCTTCCTTGTGGCCTGGGCAGCAGGAATCCTATTTTATTCTTTCTTACTAGAATAAGTAATTAAATGCTGCCTTCTGATTCTTCTTGTACTTATCATGGCATCCTTTAAGTTAATTGCTCTATCTCACACTGTGAAGTGTAAAAACACACTTTGTGATTTAAGAAAGTTTAATGGAAATGATAGCCAAAAAGAGCTTGTCCTCAACTCATTACTCAGTTCAATTGCTAGCTAGTACCTGTATTACTTGTATTCTATTGCATTGCATTGTTGTAGCTGGCTGCTCATCACTCAACTCGCAATCACTACACAAGAGTGTGTATTGGGAAAACCGTCAACTCAAATCAAGAAGATTAATGGGTCACTCTTAATGGGAGTTAGACTCGTAACCTTGTAGTTATATATTACTTATAAAAGTGAATGAGTCACTCTTAATGGGAGTTAGACTCGTAACCTTGTAGTTATATACTACTTATAAAGGTGAATGGGTCACTATTAATGGGATCGAACTCGTAATCTTGTAGTTACTACTTATAAACGTGCCCAATGCACAATAAATACAAATGAAGGTCAAATTATTTGATTGAAAAGATAAAATTGCAGAGACTTTATAAAGTATATTATATGATACAACAACATTATATTATATCTACATATAAAGTATAAACCTTCAAAAAATACATCAAACTTGATTGACCATTAGATGGAGAATTGTATGTTTGTAAGACAGCAGAACAAGAATTATCGAAGCTTGCCATGCCAAAATCCAAGAAATCCAAGTCAACTCAATCATCACACAATAAAAACAGAGCAATAAAAACAACCATCAAATTTGATTCACATGAGCATCAGAGTGGTAACAATCAACCAATCATTTTTACCATAATCTTTAACATCATTGCCATAAAAAATTAAAAAAAAAAAATTAAAAAGGATTGTTGATCCTTTTGTATACATCTTTTTTTTTTTTTTTTTGCTTCCAGAAAATTTAAAATCTCTTTTTTTTTTTCGAGTTGCAACAAACCTCATCTTCAACAGGCAAGAGTCCAATTCCTGTCACACCTCATCTTCAACAGGCAAGAGTCCAATTCCTGTCACAGACATTGAAAATGCTCATAACTCACAAGTATACAATTTGATATTAAATTTTAAAACTAGATTGACTTCAGGTGTGTTTAGTTCACACATGGAAATCAAAATCAGAATGAGAATTAAATAGTTGGCAATGGTAATGAGTTTTGGTGAAAGTAGTTTGCAAGAAAGTAGAATTGAAATAATTATCAATATTAGTCATTGGTTATTTATGACCCTATAATGGAAATAAAGGTTTTAAAAATACAAAACTAAAAAATCAAGGCAATTGATCCTAATATTAACTTCAATGGCTGCTTACTATACCTTGTGTGGTTTGAAGAAAATGGGAAAATGGAAGAAATACATACCAAAATTCCCCTTGAATCATTATGATCTCCCATGTGCAATCTCCCCTGCTAAAAAGCAAGTTAATGGAATAGCTAAGCCACAAAAAAGAAAAAACACATTTCAATTGTTATAACGGTCTCTTCAGTTGTGTTACAATTTGTGGTTCTCGAGATAAACAGAGAACCAGTCTTTTGAGGGCTTGCTTGGTTCTAATGAATCCCAAATATCCAATATCCTTAAAACCACAATGTAAGGCTCAGATTTGCCTTTTATCAATCAGTACAAGAAACTAAGACCGCCATGGCTGCAAGAAAAACACTGCCACGCCAAGATAAGGAGTAGTCTCAAAACTGAGTTTCAATTATTAATGAAAAGAATCATTGCAGGATCATAATAAAATAAAATGGGATAGAGGGAGTGAATTGTGTAGGGACACGGAGATTTACTAATGGAAAAATAGGCTCAGATTCGCCTTTTATCAATCAGTACAAGAGACCAAGACCGCTATGGCTGCAAGAAAAACAGCTGCCACGCCAAAATACGGTGTAGGCTCAAAACTCTGAGTTTCAATTAATAATGAAAAGAATCATCACGGCCTCAAGAGTAGTGCAAGAAATCAATGCAACCATAAATAAAATGGGACAGAGGAAGTGAAGTCACTGAATTGTAGTAACAGTACATTGTAAAATAGGAAATGGATATTAACCTCTTCTCTATCGGTATAACAAGGTGTCAAGCCTAGTTTAAGGGCTTCACACAAATCTCTCGTACCAACCATAATAATAAGGCTCCATTTGGGAGAAGGGTGACGTTGGAGTGATACCAACCATAATAAGGTTCCCATGTGTTGAGATATAACCATTAATGTGTAATCCAACTATCAACTTAGGCTTTTAGTTGAGAGGGTGCCAAGAATGAAACAAAAAACCTTGTGGTTTCCAAAACACACCCTAAACGAGGCTCAAAATCACCTTTTATCTATCAGGAGAATCAGATGCCAAACCTGCCATGGCTGCAACAAAAACAACTACCATGCCATGATACAGGTAGGCTCAAAACTCTGATTTACAATACATAGAACAAAACTCGTCACAGCCTCCAGAGCTAAAATTGGAAGGCGGGAGTATAATTAATCACAGCAACTGTTATAAAAGATGCAAACTTTAGGGACCAAAAATGGCATTTCCCCAATCATGGGTAAGATTTATTGATGCTTAGATATTTATCAAAATGCATTATTCTTGAAATTAGGCATAACAGACAAGAACCGAAGCTACAGAGTTTGCAGCTATACTGCCTGCATTACAAAAGAAACCCCAACACGAAATCTTTCAAACCAAAAATTTATAGGCTCAGAGCTTCCATCCTTTCAAGGACTAAGATGTGAATCCCTTGATGGCTGCTAAAATCAGTATCCTTACGAATGGGATTTCAAGAAGAAACATTCCCGCAGAATCACTGAGATGCCTTGCCAAGATCATGGGTTCACATCAAAATCTTGAAATTTTTAATCTTCATAGCCAAAGGAACTGGGAAACAATGAGGTGTAGTGTGTAATTAACGAAAATGATGGGTTGTTTGATAGTGGAAGCTTTGGATGATCATTGGCTGAGAAACACGGCATAGAGGAGGCAACCACCCATGGAAATCCCTCTACCTCTCCGCGTGTATCCAGCCTCAGACTTAAACTAATGAGAGATTCTTGAAAGATTTCTTCTCTTGCTGTAGTGTCTAATTGTGCCCTAGTTTTACTTATGGGCCGGGTTTCTATTTGAATGTTACTATAATTTTGGGATACGAAGCAAAGACCAATTCTTTGGAGCTTATTGGGCCCCAGTTTGTTCAGTTTTTTTTTTTTACCCAGGGTATCCTCAGTAAACCGGTAAGGAACTGGTCAAATGATTTGCTCTGTTCACGTGGGTGGAGATCGAACCCCTCACCTCATGCTTATTAGGCCCTCGTTTAGTCGGTTAATACTATAATAAATACTCTGTATTTACCATAAATTATTGGACCAAGAACAATGTGACTGATCACCTCGCCAAGATTACTTTGCGAAGAAATTGCGATTGGATCGAGTTTATGAATCCCCCGGTTGAGATCATTGGATAGAGTTTTGATAGATGGCCCAACATGAGAGTTAGGTGTTAGTCTAGCTAGGTCTACCCCTCCCTTCCTTCCAAAATAATGCGTTTCAATCTAGTTAGGTGTTATTTGTCTTTCTTACCATTGCTTGCTATAGACATTAAACCCATCAAGCACTTCCTCAACAAACTTTTTTTTAGGGGACAGATAAAGTTTACCAACTTGACCACCCATGTGTATCTCTAAATATATAGTGTAGTGTGTAGCAATAGAGAAACTAAAGTCTCTGTCTCTCAAAAACACAATGTTCACAAATTTGTACTTAAACCCCACAGATTTTAGGGTGCCTAAGGATGCCAAGTTCCATTTCAAATAAACAATATGCCAAACATTAGTAAGAATCCTAACATTATCATGAATTTTAATTTGCATACTTCCAATTCCATTCAAGTATCGAGCACAAAGTATCATTACCCATCAAGAAAATTAAAGAAAACCAGAAAGGTGATTTTCGAGAAAAAAAAAAAAAAAAAAAAAAAAAAACACCAGTCCAAATCCCCTAAGAATCTTTGACACTCAGATCTGTGTTTGCGGGGCAAGAGAGAGAAGTCAGCACCACCATAGCTGCAAAGAACCAAGTCCTTTCTGTGTCACCACCCCTTCAAGGTTGCCTCTTGAAATATGCAAAGCAAATCACAAGTTCAAATCATATGGACGCATTCAAGATCATTCATAAATATACTTGTCAATCACAGAAGGTATCATTACATGTATATACATTTTTTGGGTTCAATAGATGATTATAACGATTGAATACGAACCAACATATACAACCTACTACATGTTGAACAATAAATATCATCAGCTCAAACTAGGACCTGATTATGTTTGGCATCAATAGCATTGAGTTACCTTAGTGGTTGATTCAAAAAGCTTCTTACCTCATTGATGTGGGTTTTCTACTTCTGTACTGAGAACTTGTTGATTGAATGCAAGAATAAATTTCTTTCAGACCATATTTTGCAAGATTTACATAAAAGAAAAGGCAACACCTTAAGAAACTCTTAATTTTGTCATAAAAGCCTGTAATGTAGCTAAAATTTAAACAAACCCAGAAAGGAAAGATAAAATTTTTATACATCTTCCTAAATTCTCTTCTCAAAACAAGTTAAAGGGTTTGACACCTTCGCAACTCTGAGGCTCAGATCTAGTTTTAAGAGGAGAGTGGGCAAAAGAGAAGCCCAGACCGCCATGGCTGCAAAGAACCGGGTATTGCCATGCCAAGATACGGGCCGGTCGTCTCAATGCCCAATTAAGGAAGATATCATCATAGCCTCTTTAAACATATTATTCCATAGTTCCATTTCAAGATCCCGGAAACAAAATGAAAGGGCTGTTAATGGCGAAATCCCTTTCAAGAAAATCGCATCTCTCTCTCTCTGTAAAAGTCTTGATTGAATACAATCCCAATATAACACCAGAAATATAGGTCGCTGGTTCGAAGCCCTTAGGGCGTATTTGAGGCTCAGATCTGTATGTATTCTTGGGGCAAGAGAGAAGCCAGCGCCGCCATGGCTGCAAAGAACCGGAGTTTCCGGGTCGCCCCGCCAAGATACGGCTCGGACGTCTCAATGCCCGGAAGCCCAGAGAGTCGGGAAAGAAGGTGAAGAGTGAAGACATCATCACAGCCTCAAGAAATACGCAAATTAATTAAAGCATAAACCATAGCTCTGGCATATAAACGTACGTAGAAACTACAGACCAGAAAGAGATCAAGGAAAATACTACGAAGTACTATACAGGTTTCTTTGGTCTCTGAAAAGGCTGTTTTCTTGTTCCAATTCAGGAATGGAAGTGGAAAAATCATCGGCACAACAGAGAGGGGAAACCACCCTTTCAAGAAAAAACCCTACTCTGTTGCCTCGGTTCTTTCTCCATCTCTGGGCTATGGAGCTCAATAGTGGGGTTAAAGATCTTATTTATCTCGTCTTCTACTGTTTGACCGTTTCACTGTAAATTGTGGGGTGGTGGCGCAGTGGTTAGCGATGATTCGCCTGGTCTTTTAACTTTAGTAAAATTGATGTTTAGCTCAATAGTGGGGTTAAAGATCTTATTTATCTCTAGCTATACAATTTTCTCTCACTTTCAAAATATCACTATTCACTTTATGGCGGTAAATGACTGTTAGCTGATTATGTTAATTAGAGAATATAAGTAGTTGATAATATTAGCGGATTGTAGAAAGGTGTTTAGTAAGTTAACTGATAGTTATTTGGTATATTTCTTTATTCAAAAAACTAATTGAAAAAAATTGTTTCGAGTCATTTTTTGAATTTTAGCATTTTGGAATACAAAAAGTTTTTTGAAAGCTACTGGCCCTATTACATTGTAGTATCTGTTCATATACTTGAGGCTCAAACTCATAATCTTCCAAATGAAAGTCCGGGTTCTTCCAAATGGAAGTCCAACCCGGGTACCATTAGACCACATAGTCCTGGTGGAATACAAAAAGTTAATTAACTAAATACTTATATTGATTTTTAAACCAAGTCAAACAAATAATAGTGGTCAAATAAGTCAAAATTAGCCTATAGACTAACTATTTTGCCATGGGCCTATATCTATGCAATTCTCTTTCTTCTTTTAAAAATGACTCGCTATCACATTAACTTATAAAAAATTTATTTATTTTATTAAGAGTTAATTCCACCAGAGGTCACATTAGACTATCATTTTCGTCATTTAGTGTCTCAGACTATTATTTTTTAGACACTTTTAGTCATTCTCATAACTTTTCTTATTTTTAATAAGGGCATTTTTGTCTCTTCGTATTTTTCTTTTGTTATTTTTCCGGTTTCAACCGGTTTAATTGGTTTAAGACTTTACTAAAAATCAGTTGAAAAATATAATTACTAAAATTCAGATGTTACTTAAAGTTCTAACACTACATCTGTGTAGCCTGTCGGAAGCGTGCCGGAACTGTCACTGGGGAATTTACGCTTTTAAGGTAGTGTTTTCATAAACACGGCACAGAGTTCTATTTCCTATCTGTTTCGAATTCCTATTCGTGCTCGTTTTGCGGAGGCGGCGACCGTGAGGAGGAACGAGCGGCGACGCCTGAAGATGAAAACCCTAGCGTAGAGAGAGAGAGAACTGTTACGCTTTTAGTGTAGCATTTACATGCTAGTTTACTTATAGTAATGTTTAAAGTATTATTTGAATTACACTTTAAGTTCATTTCATAATATATGTTATTGTATAAGCTCTGAATTTTAATTCTAGTTTCCACACAATAATTTCATTATGACAACACTAGCTCTGAATTATTACAATTTCACACACACCATTTCATTATAGTAGTATTAAATTATCATTTTAATTCTACTACATTTTCATTTGACGATGATGCTCCACACAGAGCTGTGCGAACCATGGTCCACTGTATAATTGCTACCTAAAATGTGTTAATTGCTTCAATTGTTATGCCATGGATCATGGTACATATTGTATTTGTGAACCTTAATCCAAACATTATGAGTCTACAGTTGACATGTATATTCTATATTTGTTAAAAATTTATGTATTCGTACATAAATTGAAGTTACATAACATAATTGTATACACACATAATATATAGGAAAATGATATATACACCCTAAGTTTACTCGCGTCACGTGTCTTGATTTTATTGGAGGAAGATTAAAAGAAAGTAATACATTTACTTTTTGAATGAATCAAAGAGTGACATGTAAGCAGGGAGTAGAAAATGAAATAGAATGTGGGAGTTCATATTGTTATTACTCTCAAATGTTGTTAAAATAGTGTGGGACTTGATGGTGTGTCCCCAAACTCCATTAAAATGAAGAATGTGTAGAATTCATTATTCAATTATTTTGAGAAGTAGTGAAAGAAAAAGTGATTACAAACCAAGTGAAAAGGGAAAACCAGTGGATCCCAACCAATTGGAACCAGAGATGAACCGGCCAGCAGTATAGCTTTGAGCCTCGGTAGCACTAGCAATCACTTTAAAGCCTTTCCACTTCACCCTCTGCGAGGTGGCAGCGCCGGCGCCGGTGTTGGAATGCTCTCCGTAGAACAAAGTGTTCACCGCAAAGCTCCCACTCCACTCGTGCCACCCGGCAATATGAACGACGTCGCTTATCGACGACTGCATCACCACGGTCCTCGAGTACTCCTTCCACGGCCGCCCAAGATACGTCGGGAAGTTCTTCTGTACCGGCTTCAGGTCAGAGGCGGCGGCGATGCGGCACTTCTGGAGCACTATCCCCGTGTTCTGGTTGGGGTCGGTTCGGCCTTGGGCGGTGAGCATGTTCTTTTGGCCGGAGTTGGGGCGGCGGGGCTGGATGTCGCAGTCTTGGAAGACCGCGGCGGCGTTGCCGAAGATGAAGTCCACGGTGCCGGAGATTAGGCATTTGACGTAGAATTGGCGGTTGGAGTGGACGTAGAGGGTGTCTTGGTATGCTTTCATTTCGCAATTGTAGAATGCGGAGAGATCTGAGCCGACACGAAGGGCCACCGCTTGTTCCTTGGATGCTCCCGCCGTGTTCTGGAAGGTTATGTCCCGAGCCAAGAATCGTTCTCCCACTACCGCTGCAACAACAAAATTATTGTTACATTTTTCGGGCAGACATATCGATCCTGATCATTGTTTTCAAACTTTTACCCCTATATAGTGTAATTTGATTATTAAAGTAATAATAATAATTTCCCCATGATAATAACTAAGAACAATAAGGCAATTTGGTGGGGTAACCCCGCCAAGATGACTAAGAATATAAATTTATAATCAGAAAGTTAGAAGTTTAAATCCTAGTCCTTTTGGTTTGAGCTGTCGGTCAGGTCAGTATCCTGTGTACATCCTTGAATAGTGGTTACGAGTGGACTAAGAATCGGACAACTATAAGGAAAAGGTGAAAATGATAAGTTACATCTACTTTTGGTTATGCTATAAGATTAGATATTTTGTAATTTGTTCTTAAATAGTATTTATGTATATAATATTGTAAGCCAAACTACTTATGTACTATTTAGTGTCTCATTTTATTAGGTTTTTTGTTTTTTTTTTTCTTAAAAAAAAATCTTAAATGGTAAAATGAGATGAATGAAGCAAAGAAGAATTGAAAGAGCTCACCAACAGTGGCAGAATTGAAAGTTGTGCTACCATCTATGACGTTTCTGTTTCCTGTAATGACCGTTTTGCCCCTCCCATCACCAATGAACATTATGTTGGTCTTGGACTTGGGAACGTCTACATTTTCTTTGTAAGTTCCTGCCTTAATCCTAATTACATATCTCTTGCTACTCTTTGAAGGTGCGTTCTTCACCGCCTCCGACACCGTCCGGTAGTTCCCGCTGCCGTCCGCCGCCACCACCACATTCGGGGTCGCCGCCGTTGATTGCAACAGCCTCCTGTCTCCGGCCGACAACCACTCCGGCCACTCGCAGCCGCCCTCCACTTCCTTCAACTTCCTATTTCCACTCGCCTGCAGGTAGAATATAATACACACCGTATTAATTAAACCATTTAAAATGCAAAACATATATATAACTAATCCAACTAGATCAATTTTGACTTATTTAGCCATTATTAACTTTTTGATTTTGTTAAAAATCAATATAAATATTTGGTTAATTAACTTTTTGTCATTTCAAAATGCTAAAATTCAAAAAGCTGTCCAAAACAATTTTTTCAATTAGCTTTTTGAGAAAGAAAATTATACCAAACAGCTATCAGCTAATTTACCAAACACATTTCTACAATCAGCTAATGTTATCAACTAGTTATATCCTTTAATTAACTCAATCAGCTAACATCTATTAGTTAACAGTCATTCACCAAAAAGTATTATTTGGTAAATAACTATTAACTAATTGAGTTAGTGACTTTGACTAGTTGATAGCTGATAGCTGATAATTAAGCTAACGATGTTACCAAATAGGGCGTATATATTATTATATTGCGTATGTATACCTTAATCTCATTTTGTGCATCGGTATCAGTCATGTTCCTGATCAACGACAGACAATTGCTACACAGTTTTTCGACGTGAACTTGTCCGTTGAAGATAGGTTTACGGGCATTGTGGTCGGCTTTACAGTGGGAGAATCCGTCGAGGCAAGTTTCTTGATTCGTCATCGCCGCACTCATTAAGGTTTTAAGGTCATCTGCAGGTACAGAAAATTCTTAGTTAGTTAGGATCAAACGCTTACCAGTTACCGTACACTAAAAAGTTATAATAACCAGCAAAGAGGGTATGGGAAAAGTGAAATATAAGGTCTACCTGCATGGGCGACAATGGATTTCTTGCTAGGATAAACACGAAGATCTTGAAGAGCTGTGTTTAGCTGGAAGAGGGCTTGATCTATGGTCTCTAAACAATCACCAAACGCTATCTTTTCACGTTTCGTGTAGTTGGTTGTCGAGACCACGAGCTTTTGGACGTTGGCCCTGTTTGTTTCAGCAATTTTAATGGTGTTCTTCAACGACAGCTCTATCACATCCTTCTGGCTTCTCACTTTCTTGCTCACTTCTGGGGTGCTGGCCAGCGAAGAATAGCATAAATCTGGGTAGCGAGTGCTGCCGCAGGAGGACTTGATAATGGAGGAGGAGACATCGAGGCTGTTTGCTTCGCCGGCTGCAACTCCGGCGACCATGTCGCCGGAAATTAGCACCAGTGAAGCCAAAAGAGTTAAGAACTCTTGGGTGCGGGCCATTTTCTTTCAGATAGCTAGGGTTGGTGTGTAGATTACCAGAAACAACGTGGATATATATAGATGGGCAGATAGGATAAAGGGGCTGAAGAGTGTGATTGACTGAAAGTGACTCATCCATGTT